TTTAAATAACTATGTGATGATGGTGATAAATCCTATTAAATAGTTAATACTTCATTGTTTATACCTAGATTTATTGCACCATTGGAGAGAAGACTTTCTATAATTTTAATTTTGCATTTGGGAATTTATTGAGGCTTGTTTTCATTGCTTAATTATTTGCTTATTTTTATAACCAAGGTAGAAATTTATAAAAATAAAGATAGTACTATATTGGAGCACATTAAATATAAAAGAATCCATGCATCCATAATAATGCTCACAAAGAAGACAGGAAGGAAAGGTTTTCTTTACAGATGAATGACAGCTAATAATATGTCCACCAAGATTAGAGTTCAATTAAATTATTAAAATATATTTTAATTGCTATGGCATAATTATCAAATGTCATAAAAACACCTGTTTATACATGTTTTCATTATTGAGTTTATAAAATTATAACTACTATAATTGTTATAAATATTAATATAAATATAAATATTAAGATACCAAATATTTTTACAAATTTCAATGTGTGCTTGAAATAAGGATGCAATTTCTCTGAATTTCTCTTTAAAACTATTTTTGTGCATTTGCCTCCTATTAGATAACCATTTGTTTATTTTTATTCCAAAATGTGTTGTACATGAATGTGTATGGTTAAAAAATAACAAAATGAGCACCCATTTACAAACCATAACCCAGCTAAATGATTAAATATCAATGTCTTTAAAACTGCCTGTATGTCTTTCATATAACCTTTCCCCTGGAAGAACCATTATTCTAAATTTTGTATTATTCACTTACTTTAATCTGTAACCTAAAAAAATAAAAATGTGATCTCTAAATAATATTGCTTTCTTTTAGAAAGTTTTTACTAAAACTGAAAAATTCTGCCAAAAATTAACTCAGTAATTTCATGACTGAGAATACAGCAGATTATCTGCATACTATTTCTGCCCAAAATGTTTAATCTTTATCTAAGTTGGTAAATCTTAAAATAGTCTATTTTACAGTTATATTTTCCCCATTGTAAACTAATAGTTAAGCTACTGAGTGATACTTTTAAACTATGTGAATGCTCTATTTTCCAATCATCTTACATTAATTGATGATCGTTGCCTGAATATATTACACAGATATCTATAAAATGGTTATTTTCTAACATTCCTTTCATTAATACATATATTACCTGTCATTCATATGTAAAGAAAAGCTTTTCTTCCTGCCTTCAATTTAAGTATCATTATGGAGTCATGAATTCTTTTATATTTAATATAAGATGTTACCATTATTTTTTTGATGGTTCCATTGCTCCAGATGTGTTCAGTGGGAACCACTTTTGACATATGACATTTTTACAAGCTCCCATCATTCTTTGAATATTTGCTTTATACTACCACATCCTGTTCTCATATAGAATTATCTGTACTTTGCATGCTCCAGATCTGGAATTAGTTATTTTACTATGGAATTCCATCACCTGTCTTTAGTAAGCTGGTACTATTACCGATACCAAGATCGGGCTGTCTGGAAAGGGCTCATGAGCTTCCACAGCTCGCGCGTGATTTGCGCGGCCGTCTTCTCTGTTTCTCTCGAGAGAGGACACGGCATCAGGAATTCTATATTTTTAGGAATCGTAAAGTTCGTAGTGCTCAGAGTGCTCTCCGCGGTAGTTGAAAATGTAACAAATAAGCTGGTCTTCCGTTGTCGTCCCGGCAGTGCTTATAGCGCCACGAGCTATTTGAGCCTTTATGTGCGCGTAAAGTATATAAGAAGTGGGAGCCCGCTCGCATAGAGCGCGCCTCTGTGTTTTACCAGTATATCTTCCTCTCTCTGAATTAAGATGTTGATAGTGCGCCGCCGTTGCGGCAGAATGAGCACCTTAATTCTTTTTCTGATAGCGTGTGTGAGGCCCAATAAGTGAGCGCGCGGTGTTGTGGCGTCACGTGCAAAGTCTCGCAGCGAGTGTCCGAAACCCCTACTCATGGATTACTAGCCTGATGTGCCTTCTAAATGTTATTTTGCGCGCCTCCCCGCTCATACATCTGCCTGGAAGCTTAGTGCATAAGTGTGATGGCCTCTCTTCAGCCCAACTCATAAATATTGGAGAGAAAATTAATTCGCGTGGTCATATCAATTCAGTGGCTGCACCCTCTGGATCACAAGAGCGTCACGAGAGGGTGACGAGCAAGAGGGTGTCTCGGTTGCGCTCGAGCGCCGGGTGTGCCGGCAGCACGCCTATTCTTAGCCTGAAGACATATCCCGCGGCGCACACTTATACGCCCGAGGCGTTAGCCTACTAGTCGGTTGATACACCGGCGTCTATATACTGACGGCGCGTTGGTTGGGAAGCAGGGGAACAAGCAGGAAAGATATACTAATAAGATGTTCAGACAGATTTTCTGTTGTGTTTCAAAAGGAAACTGGTTTTACTTTTACAATAAAGCCAAACGAGTTAGGTAGATGACTATCGAGAAAAATAAAGCAGCGGAAAGATCAATGTTAGGAATTTCCATATAAAATACAAAAAACAAAAAACAAAATGGAACAACAGAACAAAATGAGAGTCTTTTTTGACCATCAAAGGCAAAAGGCTCAGCAGGAGATGCAGCTGCCAAACAAGAAAGGAGTGGTAGTTATATGAAACATATTTGCATGAAATAAAAAATATTGTCAACTACCATATCAAATATATAATGATAAATAAACAGAAGCATATATCATATTTTTTTTAGCTACAGAGCAAATGACAATAGAATTTGTTTACACTAGGGAAATACTATCACACAAAAACATTACTGACAGTGTTTTGGGGCAACCCTTTTATTATATCATTATACATAACTTGTTTGATGCTATGGTGCAACTTCAGTATAGTCCAGTTTTTTCGGTCACCTTAAGAACCAAATTGAATTATTAGATTGATCATTGAGTGATTAAGATCTCTGAAGATGGTCTGTTTGTAATTATAGATAGGCAGTAAATGGAAGTAGTGTAAAGGCTACTTCACTCTTAACCTTATCTGGGCACCAGTTCCTGTATTAAATTTTACAAAATTTCACTTTAAAGTAGTAAGGAGAAGTAGTATTGATAAGAGAAAAGAAAGAGCAAAAATGAAACTGAGTAGAATGACTTGTAGGCTGTATAAGTTAGAAAAATAGATTCTAATATCCAGAAGTATATTTATATCATATATTCATGTATCATAACTGATTCTTACATTTACAATATTAATCTGCTGCTCTTTTTTTTCTTTAACGTAAATTGTATGTGAAGTAACAAGCAAAATATCTTGGGAGATACATTAACATTTTGCTAATAGATACATTAAGGAATATATTTCTTTTTAACACCTTAACTACATCTACAAAGAAAAATATACATGGAAAATAAATTTACATGGCCCTACTTTAGATAATCTATCACTTTATCTACAGGTAGAAATCCCTTTGCTCATTGAAATAGGAATCTATCCCTTTTTTAAGTTGACACATAAAAATTTAGTATGAATGGGCATGAGGCTGTGTCCATTAGGATAGATAATTGATTACATTTTCACAGGGTAATTGTGAAAAATGTCTGAAGCCTAACCTATAACAACAACAAAAAAAATCAAAAATACTGGAACATCTTTTAAACACTCAAGATTTCTGCAACTGGTATGGGGAAATCATTTTGTCCACTAAGTGGAGGTATAAATGATAATGGATGATAAATGATAATGGAATATTTCCAAAAGTAGAAGAAAAAGTGATATTTACAGAATCCTGGCTTATGATGATAGCAGAACTGTATCTCTTCATTGCTGAGGTTTATTAATATCTTGATGAAGCCAGAGATAAAATTTGAATAGGTTACCCTGCATCAGTAAGTGATACTAAGAGATTTTCTGTTTGATCTGAGCAGAAAAAGCCTCCATGTTATGAAATTTTCAGGGACACTTAAACAAGTTTCCAGCCATGATGCCTGATGTTAATTTTGTTCATAGTTCTCATGGAAAAGAAAAGAATAGTATCTATAGAAGGGGTCGAGATTTGACTGACAAAATGGGAGATGATGGGATGGAAGGCAGATATCAAAGGGGAACAACACCGACTCTATAAGCAACTGATCATACATGAGAGGGATGTCTGCTAGGGTGGGTCACACCGAAAACATAATCTCACCTGGGCGCAGCGGCTCACACCTGTTAACACTTGCACTTTGGGAGGCTGAGGCCGGTGGATCGCTCAAGGTGAGGAGTTCGAAACCAGCCCGAACAAGAGCGAAACTCCGACTCTGCTAAAAATAGAAAGAAACTAATTGGACAACTAAAAATATATAGAAAAAATTAGCCAGGCATGGTGGCACATGCCTGTAGTCCCAGCTACTTGGGAGGCTGAGGCAGGAGGATCACTTGTGCCCAGGAGTTTGAGGTTGCTGTGAGCTAGGCTGAGGTCAAGGCACTCTAGCCCAGGTAACAGATTGAGACTCTGTTGAAAGAAACCAAAGAAAAGAAAGAAAGAAAAAAGAAAACATAACCTCTTTGATCTTTTTCAGAATTTTTCTTTGGTGTTGTAGCTTGAGTATTTTTCCATATGAATTTAAGGATCAGCATTTGACTACTTCCAGATTAAAAAATACCTGTTAGTATTCTTCTGGGAACCATGATATATTTATAAATTCTCTTGAAAAGGATTTATATATATATAATGTTCAATCTTTCTACATTGAAACATCACAGGCCTACGTATATGTTCTTAAATTCTTTCAATTCTTTTTAATGTTTAATAGTTTTCTTCAACACTACGGAAATGTACACTCAAACACAGTTAAACTGGTAAATTTAACAGTGTATTTTAACACATTTAAAAATAAAAAGATGAAAAATGATGAAAGGTTATTGATAACAAAATAAAATTAAGGAAGTAAACGTTCCTGCTCTGTCCAGAAAATAGACTAGATGATAAAAAAAAAAAATTTCTTCATGTCGGTATTATGCATTTGTAAATTCATTCCCAAGTAGTTTTTTTTTTTTTTACTTCCGATGTTTTATTTAAGAACTTATACAAAATATTCCAAATAAATGAATTTTAATCCTCATCTTCCTCCTCTTCTTCATCCTGGTTAATTTGGAAGTAACGTAATTCGTAACTCTCTTTGCTGTTAGCAACTACACGCAACCAATCACGTAGATTGTTCTTCTTCAAATATTTTTTGGTGAGATATTTCAAATACCTTTTAGAAAAAGGCACCTCAGAAGTGACAGTGATCTTGCTCTTGCTTCTCTCGATGGTCACAACCCCTCCCCCGAGATTTCCAGCTTTTCCGTTCACTTTGATTCTCTCTTGCAAAAACTGCTCAAAATTAGCAGCATCCATGATTCCGTCCAAGTAGTTTTATAGCATTGTTGTTATTGTAAATGGGTTATATATACTATTCATACTCATAAACTAATAAATATAATCCTCAATTTACTGAATACTTGTATTCTTTCAGTGGTTTTCTCAGTTAATTCTCTTGTATATTCCAACTTCTAGCTGACTTTAATAGTAATGACTGTTGTATGTCTCTATGATATTGAATTTTCAGCAGAGATAAATATAGTTAATCATGTTAAAGAAGTATTGATTTATTCATATTGAGTTTTTAAAATTGAGACTTGTCATTGACTTTGTCAAATGCGCCTTCAGCGTCTATGGAGATGGGCATATAATTTTGTTCTTGGATCAATTAATATGATCAATTTTTAAAATAGATTTCCAAATAGTGACCCATTCTTAATTACTACAATAAATTCTATAGCTCTGGATGCATGTTTCTTAAAACGTACTGCTGGATTCTGTTCACTAAAATTTTGGTTATACTTTTTTCAATTATTTTTGTTAAGATATGATTCACATAGCATAATATTCACCCTTTTTTAAAGAGTATAATTCGATTATTTTTATTAAAATCACAAGGCTATACAGCCATGAATATTAGTTCCAGAATATTTTCATCACATCAAAATGAAATCCTTTACCTATTAGTGGAAAATACTCAACCCCTTACCCCTGTCCTCTGGCAGAGCCTAATCTCCGTTCACTTCCCATATATTTACCTATTCTAGACATTTCTGATAAATGGAGTCATACAATATGTAGGCTTTCTGTCTGACTTCTTTCATTTAACATGACGCCTCCAGGATCAACCCATGTTGTCCCATGTATTAGTACTTCACTTCCTTTAATACTGAATAATATTCCATTGTATGAATATACGACATTATTTATGCATTCACCCATTGATAGACATTTAGATTTTGCCACTCGTCAGCTATTACAAACAGTCCTGCTATGACTTATGTGCAAGATTTTCTGTGGACATAATTTTTCTATTGTTATGATAATATACCTAGGAGAACTATTACTGGATTGTATGGCAGCTTCCTATTTAAAATTATAACACATTGCCAAACTGTTTTCCAAAATGGATGTTATTTTATAGTCTGACCAATAATATATGGGGATCCTAATTTCTCTATATCCTTGAAAACACCATTAATTGTCTATCTTTTTTAATATAATCAACCAAGTGAGTGTGAAGTGGTACCTAATTGTGATTTTGATTTGTATTTTTCTAATAACATTTGAGGCCGCACACCTTTTCATGTGCTTATTGGTCGTTTCTATTTGTTTTCTAAGAAATGTCAACTGAAATTATTTGGCTATTTTTAATTAAAAGGTTATTTGACCATTTATAGTCTAATGTTGACTTCTTTATATATTCTGGATACTATACCGTTATCAGATATATGATTTGCAAACATTTTCTCTCAATCTGTGGGTTGTCCTTTAATTTTCATGATAGTCTCCTTTAGAGCATAAACATTTTTAAATTGATACAGTCCAATTTATCTATTTTTTCACCCTTTGGTTGTTTGTGCTATACTTTCAAAACTAAGGTCACAAAGATTTACTAGTAAGATTTATCCTAAAAGTCTTACAATTTTACTCTTATATTTAGACTTTGATCCATTTTAAGTTTTCCATATGGTGTAAAACAGGGTTCTAATTTAATATTTTTGGACATGACTATCCAGTTGTCCCAGTACCATTTGTGGAAAAGACCATTCTTTGCCCCTCTGAATTATTTTGGCACCCCTCTTGAAAATAGATTAAACGTAAATGTATGAGTTTATTTCTGAACTCTCACTTTTATTTTATCTTTATGTCTACCCTTCACTGATTCTCTATTTAATCATTTAATTGCAACTACTGTCTAGTGTCCTTTCCTTTCCTTTCATTCCCTTTCAGAACTCCATGAGGGTTAACTTTATCTGTTAACTTAAATTTGAATATGGGGATGTGGGTTGCCAGGTTGAACATTATTTATTAGCATCTTTGTGAGAGTGTTTCCTGATGAGACTAGGATTTGAATCAGCAGACTGAGTAAAGCAGATTGTCTTTCCCAATGTGGTTGAGCTTCTTTCAATCCACTGAGGGATTAAAGAGAACAAAAAGGTAGAAGGAGGTGTAATTCCATTTCTCCACCTAACTGCTCAAACTAAGACATCAGTCTTCTCCTGCCTTCAACTAGTATTTACATCAATGGCAGACAGGCATTGCCTAGGCCAATGTCTACAAGAGTTTTTCCAACATATTCTTCTAGAATTCTTATAGTTTCATGCCTTATGTTTAAGTCTGTTATCCACCGTGAATTGATTTTTGTGAGAGTTGAAAGGTGCAGTTCCTGTTTCACTCTTCTACATGTGGCTATCCAATTTTCCAGCACCATTTATTGAGTAAGGATTCTTTTCCCAGTGTATGTTTTTTTCTCCTTGGTCAAAGATTACATGGCTATATGAGGATGTTTTTTTATATCTGGGTTCTCAGTTCTGTTCCATGGGTGTATATCTCTGTTCTTGTGCCAGTACCATACTGTTTTAGTTGCTACGGCCTTATAATACAGCTTGGAGTATGGTAAATTGATGCCTCCAAATTTGTTCTTTTAACTTAACATTGCTTCTGCAATAGCGGGGCTGGTCTTCTCTGTTTCCATACAAAGAGTAGAATTATTTTTTCTAGATCTGGGGAAAATGATGTTGGTATTATAATAGGGACTGTACTGAATCTCCTGGGACAGGGCACCAGGCTCCCAACTCCCTCAGGGCACCTCCCCGGCCCAAAAATCAGACCAAGTCCACAGACACAATATTACTTCATTCTCTCCTTCCCCTTCCCTACCCAAGGCTGCTGAGAGAGACAATTTAGCCACCATCCAGAGTCATTTGCAGGGAATGGAATCTCACCTTTTGGAATAATGCAGCAGACTCAGGGGTACTCAAACTGTGAAATCCCTGCACACCAGCCCTCCCAGGTGCTGCTTGCCTAGTTTTTGTAATTTTTTACTCCAGGATTTCTACTTGCTTTTTTTTATAATTTATATTTCTTTATTGATATTTTCCATCTAGTGAAATATTTTTCTCATACTTTTCCTTAGTTCTTTAGACATGGTTTTCTTTACTATTTTGCACATATTTAAGATAACTGATTTAAATTATTTGTCTAGTAAATCCAATATCTAGGGTTTTTCTGGGATAGTCTCTATTGATTCCTTTTTTCTGTTTATTTATATGTTTCTTTTTCTGTTGAAACTAAACATTTTAAATATTGGAATGTGGCAACTCTTCCCCAGCATTTGTTGTTGCTGCTTTTTGTAGGTGTTCACTTGTTTGTTTTCTCATGACTTTTTTGAATTCTTATAATTTTGCACAGATTGCATTCTTTATTTTATATGAAAAATAGAAATCTAGGCTGGGAGCGGTGGCTCACGCCTGTAACCCTAGCACTCTGGGAAACCGAGGCGGGTGGATTGCTCAAGGTCGGGAGTTCAAGACCAGCCTGAGCAAGAGCAAGACCCCATTTCTACTAAAAATAGAAAGAAATTAATTGGGCAACTAAAAATATATAGAAGAAATAGCTGGGCATGGTGGCGCATGCCTGTAGTCCCAGCTACTCGTGAGGCTGAGGCAGGAGGACCGCTTGAGCCCAGGAGTTTGAGGTTGCTGTGAGCGAAGCTGACGCCACGGCACACTAGCTCAGGAAACAGAAGTGAGACTCTGTCTCAAAAAAGAAAAATTGAAATCTATGTTCAATTAGATTAGTTATTAGGTAAAGAAACATTTCTCTAAATACATGGATCCAGTAAGTTATCAATGCTTTTTAAAGGAGCTTTGTATGCATGTTGATGCACACCTTCAACACCTAGACAAGCATTTGACAACTCTGCCTTAGCCTTCATTTCCTGGTTGTGGAGACTTGAGGTAATCCAGGTGTGAGAATTTAGGGACTTTTCAAGTTTTTCCTTTGCATATTCAAAGATCTGGGCATGTCTACAGCCCTTAAAATTCTCACCCACGCCCTTCAATACACATGATCTTTAAGATTCCTGGGACTATGTCAGAGGATTTCAAATCTCCATATGGACATTTCATTACCCAGGTTTTACTTTTAGGACTTTTGATTATAACATATTTACCACAACTATTACTATCTCCTCAGCAAGCCACAAAGTCAACTGCTTGAAAGAAATTCTTTAGCAAATATTCTAAGAGAAAGACGTTTTGCACACACTAAGCTGTGAGTCAGATCAAATAATGACAGATTTTCCAGTAGGCTATTATAGGGAATCACCATACAGTCAAATAATGGCAATTCTCTGAAAGGCAAATACAGCAAATTCCTGCATGTCAATAAAACAAGTCCCAGGCCAGGCACCAAGGCTCAGGCCTGTAATCCTAGCACTCTCGGAGGCCAAGGTGGGCAGATCGCTCAAGGTTAGGAGTTCAAAACCAGCCTGAACAAGAGCGAGACCCCATTTCTACTAAAAATAGAAAGAAATTAATTGGACAACTAAAAATATATAGAAAAAATTAGCTGGGCGTGGTGGCACATGCCTGTAGTCCCAGCTACTCAGGAGGCTGAGGCAGGAGGATTGCTTGAGCCCAGTAGTTTGAGGTTGCTGTGAGCAAGGCTGACGCCGTGGCACTCGCATGTGCAACAGAGCGAGACTCTGTATCAAAAAAGGAAAAATAAAAAAGAAAAGAAACATTTTAGAGAATAACTTGTGAAACCATCTGTTTCTTTTGCTGATGGGGGGAGGGAAGGGTAACACCATAATGATGTCCATCCTTTACTATACAAATGCATGTTCTGATTTAATATCTTTTCTAAAAAAATTTGGAAAGGTATATCATCCTATATTATTACATATTTCATCAAGATTTTCAAATTTTCTTTTACAGGTCTAAGGACAGTAGTGTTTTAACCTTTAAACTAATTCACATTTTTGTGGTAATTTCCTCCTTATCACTTCTTGCCTTTTATTAGTGACTTTCACCT